TGAAAGATTGAGGTTTGAAAGCACAGATGGCTAAATTTGTTTAAGATTCTGAGTCCATTCAGTTTTTTGCCACTGTTATATAATGCATGTTTCCAAATTAAACCAATCATATTTTCCCATTCCTGTGAATTCTAGGATAGCATACATCATACTCACTCTTATATCTTAGCTATTTATGCACATCTAAAGTTCTTGGTAAAATTATAAGCTCCTGGGAAACAGGGGCATTTCATCTGCTTATTGTGTGCCCTACGACACTTAAAGCAATGTTGTGCACAGTTTGGGTTCTCTTTAAATATTTAGCACATCAGTAGACTTCGCAACAAATGGGATATTCACAATGAAGAAATAATACTATAGTCCAGTTTGGAGCTCAAAAACTCCGACGAATGTAGTTGACTTGAGACATATGTATGCATTTTGTGGTGCTTTGTTTATAGAAAAAGTAAAACATGAAATTAAAGAAGAAACTACAAAAATATCTTCGCTACTTTTTCAGAGACTTAACAACAATAACAACTACAGCTACAACAACAACATTTGGCTGAATGCGGTGGCTCACGGTAGTAAACCCAGCACTTTGAGAAGCCAAGGCAGGAGCATCACTTGAGGCCAGGAGTTTGAGACAAGTCTGGGCAACACAGCAAGACCCCCATCTCTACAAACTGTTTTTTAAAAAGTTAGCTGGGGCCGGGCGCGGTGGCTCACGCCTGTAATCCCAGCACTTTGGGAGGCCGAGGCGGGTGGATCACAAGGTCAGGAGATCGAGACCATGGTGAAACCCCGTCTCTACTAAAAAATAGAAAAAAATTAGCCGGGCGCAGTGGCGGGCGCCTGTAGTCCCAGCTACTGGGGAGGCTGAGGTAGGAGAATGGCGTGAACCCAGGAGGCGGAGCTTGCAGTGAGCCGAGATTGCGCCACTGCACTCCAGCCTGGGCGACAGAGCGAGACTCCGTCTCAAAAAAAAATAAAAAATAAAAAAAATAAAAAATAAAAAATAAAAAGTTAGCTGGGCATGGTGGTGCATGCTTATAGGATTAGCTACCTGGGAGGCTGAGGGCATTGGATTGCTTTAGCTCAGGTGTTTAAGGTTACAGGGAGCTATGATCATGCCACTTGCATTCCACCCTGGGTGACAAAGTAAGACTCAGTCTCTAAAATTAAATTAAATTAAAATTTAAAAAAACCAAAACACTGTCTATCCCCTGCAAAGTTTTACAATACTGATATAATTATTTAGTTTTAATCAGGTTTGCCAGTTTCTGTCAGGTGCTGCAAAAGCAACATTTAAATAGAATACGGCTAGATGGACTATTTTCATATGTGCAAATGCTGCAGGTATTCCCAAAACAACCTGTTAGAAATTTCATTGCTATTTTAAGAGTTACAGAACACTGCCTAATATATGGATGATCAAATTCTCTTTTTCTAAAGGCAAAATCAATACATTCTGTGATCTAGAAAAGATGATTTTGAAAACTGAGAACAGAACAGCAACATAGAGGGAGAGGTGCATATGTGTTTGTTCTGCATCTTAATTTTAAAACTATTATTTGGGCCGAGAGCAGCGGCTCAGGCCTGTAATCTCAGCACTTTGGGAGACCAAGGCGGGTGGATCACCTGAGGTCGGGATTTCGAGACCAGCCTGACCAACATGGAGAAACCCTGTCTCTACTAAAAATATAAAATTAGCTGAGCATAGTGGCACATGCCTGTAATCCCAGCTATTCTGCAGGCTGAGGCAGGAGAATTGCTTCCACCTAGGAGGCAGAGGCTACAGTGAGCAGAGGTCGCGCCATTGCACTCTAGCCTGGGCAACAAGAGCGAAACTCCATCTCAAAATAAAATAATAAAATAAAATAAAATAAAATAATAAAACTATTATTTGGAGATAAATCTTATCTTTAATTTCATAATCTACTTTGCATGAAAGCATTTGTATTAAAAGATCCTATATGTATTTAGTTTCTAAAAAGTTAAATGCAGTATTTGATACTAATACTTTAAAGATTTCACCTTATATGTTTAAATCTATCATATGAACTTGATCAAATATTTCGTAATCTACATATTGCTATACAAAGGATTAGATATTCTATGCAGTCTTGTGTCATTTACAATTTAGTCAATATGCTTTTTTCACAAATCATCAGAAAAATGCAAATAAAAAAACCACAATGAGATACCACCTTACCCCAGCCGCAATGGCCAATATTAAAAAACTAAAAAAGTAGATATTGGCATAGATATAATGAAAAGAGAATGCTTATATCCTGTTGGTGGGAATGTAAATTAGTACCCCCTGTATGGAAAACAGTATGGAGATTCCTAAAAGAACTAACGGTAAATATAATTCAATACAGCAATCCCACTACTGTGTGGATACTCAAAGAAAAATAAATCTAAATAAAGTAATGAAATACCTTTGTCCTTAATCGTTGAAAAAATCTTCAGTATTGGAAGTGAAGTTATATATGTTCTGGATGTTATCGTTTTAGTTATTTTATATTTGAAACAAACATTTTAAATATTTCTTTTAAATTTTACTAGTGGTAAATTTTTTTGTTGTTGTTGTTTGTTTCTCGTTTTTGTTTTTTTTTTTTTTTTTTTTTTTTTTAATTTGAGACGGAGTATCGCTCTGTCGTCCAGGCTAGAGTGCAGTGGCATGATCTCGGCTCACTGAAAACCCCGGCTCACTGAAAACTCTGCCTCCCGGGTTCACACCATTCTCCTGCCTCCGCCTCCGGAGTAGCTGGGACTACAGGCGCCCGCCACCACGCCTGGCTAATATTTTTGTATTTTTTTTAGTAGAGACGGAGTTTCACCGCGTTAGCCAGGATGGTCGCAATTTCCTGACCTCGTGATCCGCCCGCCTCGGCCTCCCAAAGTGCTGGGATTACAGGCATAAGCCACCACGCCCGGCCGGTAAATTGTTTTAATTAAATCATGTAAATTACTGTAAAGTTTTGTTTTCTTCATCTCTCTTAACATTTATATATTTGAGTGTTTATAAAATGTATAAACGTTTGTATATTTGAGAGTTTTGAAAATTTATAATTTTTAAAAATGTGATATTAAATTTTTGTATGAGAATATATCTTGTTATCATATACATTCATTCCATAAAATTAGGTATATGCAAGTAATCCCCGTTGTTTGAAATTACATAATGCTATCCTTTGCTTGAAGTTGTGATATTCCTAACCTTCTAAATTGTCATATGAAACATGAATACACACACACACACACACACACACACACACACGATCTCAACGGAAAAAAAATATTTCTATACACATTCCAGTTCATTTTTAGATTTGTTAGTGTGTAAACATTTTCAATTATAGGACAGAAAAGATTCCTCTTCCAAAAAGTGAGGTACATGTTGACATGTATGTCATCATTTGTGAATCATCAATCATCATTCATGATTGAGAAGCCATTCTGTATTCTCACATAATTAGGTTTAGATACTGAAATATTTTAGTCCTGTTATAAGATGTGCAAAGATATTTTAAATAGCATTATATTCTGAGAAATAAGATTATGTAGATTTAATACTTCTTAATAATTATCTATTTCTATTTACCCATTAATTTCAATGATTAAATATCTTTCAAGATTCTCAAAATAGAAAACTTGTAACACACGATAAGAAAATGACATATTTTTAAACCAACCCTCCTGTATTTCTGGATACTTGAGGTCACTATTTCTTCTACCTTATAATCCACTCATTCAGAAATATCTTAAATTTCCAAGGGAGACATCTGATGCTTGTTTGCTTTTGCACGCTTTCCAGGCAGCTAAGAGTCAAGGAATTCAAAGTAGTACACAGAGCAGGAGAAATTAACTTACAGATATGGATATAATTTGGGGCATGCACACAGGGGCCTGACTGATTTTAAATGTACAGAATTATCTACTTCATGTTTCATAATGTCTTCTTTATTGTACTACATATGGAAATGCCAATAAAAACTATTAAGCTAAAAAATACTTTATGAAAGTTGTAAAATGTTACTTTGCATTGCATTTCAATAAAAAAGTATGGCTAATTCAAAACTCGGTTCATTACCTCTCTCTTTTTCTAGTTCAGTTCCTGCGTCACTCCCTAAAACGTCCTGTGGGCATCTGAAAGATTGGTTCCTATATATACACACACACACACACATATATGTGTATATATATGTGTATATGTGTGTGTGTGTGTATATACATATGTGTGTATGTATATATATAGAGAGAGACATTGAGGCTAAGAGGAAACCACTCCTAAGTTGTGGTATGATTGTTTTCATACTGAGAAGTAGCACATATTTTATCTGTAGTGAAATTCATAAGAATGCAGAAATAAAAGTGTGAACTCTACTAATAAACAGGAAAAACTATTCTGCTAATTTTTTAAATTAGGTGAGAAGTGACAAAATATTTTTGAAAATAAGTAACTCCAATGAAACATAAAGAATATATGATTTTTTTAGGGTAGTTAGTAAGAAAACGTGCTTTCTTTTCCAACAAGTATTTTTTCAAACAATATTTTCTAAATCTTTTAAATTTAGTTATCACTATATTCTTGCTCTCAGGGGGCCTACACAGCAGTTGTAAAGATAGGACAGCTCTCAAATTTATGTAAAACATGAATGAAAGGGAAGAAATTCAAAAGTAACCAAGTTTATCATAAAATGTCAAGATTACAGAATTGGGAATTTGAAAGCTAAATTCATATATTTTTAAAAAATATATTTTTGTACACCTTCTCTATAACTGTGTGATTCATGTATTCTAGAATTATGACCATAAAAGAGTAGCAAGTGAAGAATTCTAGAACATAAGAAATTAGTTACAGTATATTGATAAAATGTCAGCAATAGGTCATTTCTTAAAATACAAAACATTTGATGCATTTTTAAAAACAAATGAAAAAATCAAGAAATGCCAAAATATAGAGAAAAGGGCAGTTTTGTATAATCATTTGATACAATAGTGGTTCATCTTACCTCTACTACCAGCTGCTGAAGAGATGGTGATGCTACAGGATGTAGACTAGAGTTCCCCCTTAAGGGACTGTGGATGCTAATATAAGCCACAACATTTTTCTGAAGAACCTTCTTGAAATCCTGAAATCAAAAAAAGGATCTATCAGTAACACAAATAGATTCTACTTTATTAGTTAGATACTGAATAATGAACAATTCATACTTAAAATTATTATACTGCATAATTACCTTCTTTTTTATTATTTATTTTTATTTATTTATTTATTTATTTATTTATTTTTGAGCTGGAGTCTGGCGCTGTCGCCCAGGCTGGAGTGCAGTGGTGCCCTCTCGGCTCACTGCAAGCTCCGCCTCCCGGGTTCACGCCATTCTCCTTGCTCAGCCTCCCGAGTAGCTGGGACTACAGGCACCGCCACCACACCCGGCTAATTTTTTGTATTTTTAATAGAGATGGGGTTTCACTGTGTTAGCCAGGATTGTCTCCATCTCCTGACCTCATGATCCGCCCGTCTCAGCCTCCCAAAGTGCTGGGATTAAAGACATGAGCCACTGCGCTTGGCCATAAGTACCTTCAAAGTGATCCTATACTATTAATAGTGTACACAAAGATTATAAAAGGATTTTAAACAAGAATGATGAGTTAGATATAACATATAATAAAATATTTTAAAGCATGTTCCTGACAAAGTCAAATTTTAACAGAAAATGTTCTTCAAAGGTTAAGGTAGTATGGATTCAACTACAGAGTATGAATGCAACTTAATTTTGGAGTCACTGAATGAGAGGAGAGGTATAGATAAACCACTCCAGTGAGGAATAAAACCAGCCCTTCTCTTTTGAAGCAATGAGCCACTCTGCACGAAATAACCCTGTATTATGAGCAAAATGGGGCATAATACAATGTAATCTTGCAAATATTACCTTAAAAAAAAAAAGACCTGATGCATTTCATGCACACAAGCAGCACTGGATGATTCCATAGAATAGTTTTCCACTTCTCTTCTGCTCCTTACCACACAAAATTGAAGACCACTGATCCTATTAAGAATGACCACTAAGTCTTTCTGTTATTTCCCTGCTTTTTTGTGCAAGCATTTAACAAATAATTGTCATGGTGGGTGGCAGTTCTACAGAAATGTCCTAAAAGATTACATTATGTCATAACTTAGGAAAGTATCTTTCTTCTTCTAATACTATGAAATGAAAGACTACAAGGACTTGTACGCCTGCCAAATTGATAGTTATCCTGTTTAATTTTTTTATTGTAAATAGCTTAAAATTGTGTAATTTTATGGAGTACAAAGTGATGTTATGATTTATGAATATAATATGGAATAATTAAATTAAGCTGGTTAACATATTCATCACCCCAAAAACTTAACATTTTTTTGTGATGAGAACACATAAAATTTACTTAACAATTTTGAAATGTATAATACTCTATTACTAAGTATACTCACCACACCACACAATACATAATAGAAGTTGACCATTTTCTCCCCATTCCCTCCATACCCTAGGCTGAAACCACCATTCTACACTCTGTTACAGATGAGTAGATAAAGAAAATGTGTTACATATACACAATGGAATACAATTCAGCCTTGAAAAACAAGAAACTTCTCTCCTTTGTGATAACGTGGATGGAACTGGAGAACACAATGCTAACTAAAAGAAACCAGGGACGGAAACATAAATTCTTCATATTTTCACTGTTATCCATATTTTATGTTGAAAATTCATAATTTCAACATATTGAAATTATGTTGAATTTCAATTCTGTAAGAGGGTGGAAAATACAATCATTTAAAATTAATAAACATCTTAAGTGCACATAAGTGATGAATTTTAAGCTTGAGTAATTTCTCCATAATTATTGTTCAAAAATATCTGTTACTTAAGTGCTATGAAATATCAGCTTCTATTAGCACACTACCACACAGACACTGTCTATATGTTAGTCTATATAATTCTCATGAGAACCTCATAAGATAGGCATTAGTAGACTCATTGGAGGAATCAAGTCTTAGGGAAGTTAATCTTGCCTAAGATGACATGTTCTATGGTAAAGAGAATTGAACTATGAATTCTTTTACTCTAATATCTGTAATATTTCCACAATAGCCTCTGACAAATGAAGATTCTTCACAGAAGAAATGGTACTTTTTAAAGTATAGAACCTATTTAGCAAAATGTTATAATTTTTCTCAAAGATCAAGATCAGTAATCATTTCTCTAATAATTCTGTCTATGATTCCATTTTAAGTTTACTGACCAACATCACCTAATCCTCTTAACTACAACTGTGGGTTTCCAGAAGTTTCTATGCAAGCATAATTAAATGGGGCAATGTGATATGTCAATAAGGGCTTTCCTCACTCCCCTTCATAGGGGAATATATTTAAAGCATAATTAGTTTCAATCTAACATAAACTCTTTCATTCTCAGGAGTACATTTGACATGAGTAGGCAAAACAGGACAACTAGCAATTTTCTACATTTCTCTTCAACAGGATGTTTACAAAATGGCTTCATGAACTGCATTGAACAATCTGGTGAGACACAGTAAATTATAAAAATATATTCCATAAGCCCATAATCAAATGTATAGTATTTACCATGTTCATTACTCATATGTCTTTGCCCATCTAGTCACCTAAAATGCCAGTAAATGAATGTATAATGAGTTGCCAAATGTAAATACATATATAAACATTCAAAGACACTGGTACTTGTCTTGAATACGAACAACCTTTTTAACAAAATTTTTTTCCTGTGAACTCCCACATTGTAGTTGCTGTATTTTTAGCATAATTGACTAAGAAAATATACAATTATTAAAAGGTGCAATGACTTCACAAAAACTTAAAAATGAATGTGTATTAACCACAAAAATCTCAACTTACTTTGACGAAAACTATTGCTGACACACATGCAAGCCCACATTGATTCAACTTACAGGTTCTGACGCCTGATGCTCAACTAAATTTTACAATAAATTTTCCCATCCATCGGGGTTTCAGATGTTTACATTAGAAACTATTAATTTAGACAAGCCTAGCCTATTCTAAAACATAGTTCAGAAATATATGTATTAATTTAGAATTAACATAAATTAATTGTGAAAGTTACTAGACAGGTATCTAGAAGACCTAAAATATAGTTTGATATAGCAAAATACATCTTTGGAATTCGAAAAGAATCTTTAAGACATTTTAAAGATATGTGCTTTAATGTTACAGGAAAACTAAAACATTAGTTGTTTCTGATTTATTAAAAATGGTATAGATTACAAACGTATTCCCTAAACTGTTCTTTAACTTGTTTACCAATCTTTAAAGTAATTTGGAATATGAGTTTGAGAGGTTGGTTCATCTATTTCATTTCCAGCTTACTTACAAATGTGTCAACTTAAAAAGATTCTTTAAGCAAAGGAATTTTTTCATTTGAAGTAGTTCTTTTGAATATGGCTCAAGCATACACACCACTCATTTGCATACAGAAAAGCATTCCAATTTGCAATGTGTGAATCTGGATGAATTTTACACTGAAAAAAATTTTCTCATCTATAAGTCTTTTCTTTCCTTCAAATTAAAAAAGATACTTGCTACGTTCTTTTCTATACCTTTTTAAATATTTTCTTTGATTTAATAGATATGTTATCATTTTTGGGTGATTAAAAATAAAAATGTAGCAAAATAATTTCCTATTACATTTTTCTCCTCAAAGTTGAAGTAGTGAAAAAACTATAGTATTAAATTATCTTACTTTCCTAGTAAAATTATGTAGTGTTTTTTGTCTACATATGTCTATTGAACCTCTTTTTTGAAACAAATCACAAAAGTAAATAGAATTTCTATCAATCCAATTATCAGTTATCATATTCCATTAAAAATACAGTGCATTTATGAGACACAGATCTGTCAGAAGCATTTGAGACTTAAATTCTCCAATATTTCAGTTGTATTCTAACTGTACCTCATTGCATGCTAGATTTCATTTGGATACAGGTTTCCTAAGGTGGTTAGATAGGTAGGTAGGCAATAGATAGGCAGGTAAGAAACGAAAGATAGGGAGTTAAGGGTGAAAGGGTGGAGTGGAAGAAGGAGAAAAAAGTGAATTTTAAAATGTATTTTACATTCAGGATCCATATTGTATAGATAAAATGTAATGCTAAGGTAATAAACATTTAATATAGGAGATTGTTCCCTAATTCCAGATTATTCCTAGAAAGTGTAGAAAAAGAAAGATAATATGTATCGTCTGATCCTTTTTTGTCCAATGCCTGTCATCCTGTCTTCTAAAGAGAAATACAACAACAAGGTAAATACTATTGTGTGTTAGACTGTATCGGGGTTTGTAAGTGGTAACAATAGGGATAAGATATTTGAAGGTCATATGTAGCTTGCTGTGGTCTAGCTCTAATTTTGTCTTATTCTTATAAGCCATCTCAGCAAATTAGGCAATAGGATACTTTAGTTGAGAAGCACATTATTGCCCTTGGCTTTGAAAATTTTACTTTGTCTACTTTAGCAAACTAAGAAAAGAAAAGAAAAGCACTGTAATTAATGTATATTCTGCTTTACCTCTCCCCATTCATATGAGCCAATATTGCCAAAAGCTGTTCCTCCCCAAGAACAGAAAACAATAGTTCGGTCTGGTCTCCACCCTCTCTTAACTTTTGACATCAAGGCACGGATAAACGCTGTGATTATTGCAGTACTACTGGCCCATTCTTGTCCATTATAACTGTGTGCAGTGTGATGATGGCTGCCAACTATGACATACCGGTCTGAAAATAGAAAGGGACAAGAGCCATTTAAAAAAATGTAAACCTTAACAATAAGTTTAATGACATTTACATAATCCTACTGCACAACTGAGCAATAATTAAGCAAAATTGTTCTAATAATTAAGACTACTTTAATTTTTTTTGCCCACTGTCTTAATTCACACATCTGCGTATATCAAAGCTGAGGCAGCTGCTGAACCCAATTATGAATCCAAAGCTTAGATCCATATTACTCTCCTTTATAACATGAATATTAATTAATGAAGCATACAAACAGGCCACAATGAAACCCTTATCTAACATTTTTCCAGACTCAGAGTGGGAAGTGCCCTGTAAACAATATGTGTATGCTCAGTAAATATTAATAAACTAATACATATAAGAAAGCACTTATACAGTAGCTTTAAATATTAAAAATGTGGTAGTCATGTATGGATTCTGCAATAAATTAATCCCATAGGGAATTAATTACAGCTTCCAACTTATAATTGTAGGCCTTCTCCTTCCTGTGAAGAAAAAATAAAATAAAATTCACCAATATCAAAAGTCATTCAACTGTTATAAAAGTTGCCTTTTACATATTTTATTTCATACAATCATTTAAAATTTATTAGATACACTATTAGGAGAGCTTTCCTAACACACGGAAGTAGCCTATTCAACATTACTGAATATTTTCGATAATAAGGCTGAAAACGCCCCTCGAGAGTTTCCTCTGATTTTGTTGTCAGTGAATGTTATTGGTAATAATAACATATCTGAATTTATCTGACCAAGTATCTTCATATATCTATGCAAAAATTTTTCTTCATTGACTATCATTTTATTACCAGATGTCCCACAACTGGATGGTAAATTGTGCAGACCCTGAATCCAGCCTGCTTGGTTTAGAATTCAGGCTTTGCAAGTCACTAGTTGTGTGACCTTGGAAAGCTTATTTCAACTTTCGATGCCTTAGTATTTTCATCTCTAAGGTAGGAAAACAAACAGTACATCCTACATTTAATTGTTTTGAATTTTAGGAGTCATTATTTTGTAAGCCACTTTGAACAATGCTCAACGCAAAGGAGGTCTTACACATGTGTGGAATAAATGAATCACCCTTTGACTTATAACACCAAAAAGCTACCTTACAATAAATGTCACGGTATAAAGATATTTTAGTTTTCCACACAGGAATTGGCAATGGATTTGATCTGCCAACATTTTATTCAGATTTAATTAATGGGACCGGGCACGGTGGCTCACGCCTGTAATCCCAGCACTTTGGGAGGCCGAGGCAGGTGGATCACGAGGTCAGGAGTTCAAGACTAGCCTGGCCAAGATGGTGAAATCTCGTTTCTACTAAAAATACAAAAAATAGCCGGGTGTGGTGGTGGGCACCTGTAATTCCAGCTATTTGGGAGGCTGAGGCAGGGAATTGCTTGAACTTGGGAGACGGAGGATGCAGTGAGCCAAGATCGTGCCACTGCACTACAGCCAGGTGACAGAGCGAGACTCCATCTCAAAAAAAAAAAAAAAAAAAGATTTAACTAATGGTATACATAGTGTGATAATGTGTCTACAAATGTTAAAAACCCAATACTTTATTCGCTTATCTCCCATAAATGTCTCAAAGTTTTGCTTGGAATTGTCTGCATTCTAAATAAACTGTATCTAACAAACAAAGCTAATTGATGATTTTTTTCTAATCTTCAAAGTTATTAAATAAAATGTCATGTAAATAAACAGTCAATTTTTTGTAAAATTCAAATGAGCAACATTTCAGAAGCTTTGCATAATTCACTGAAGAATACTAACAGTAAAATTGATTTTTTAAATTTCAGGAGTATATTTTGTAGATTGAATTTTCTTCACTCTAAAGCTAGTATAATTTGTACAACTGGGTTTTCCAATAACAACTTGTGAATGAATCAGTGATGATAAATATTCTAGTGCTTCAATAGAGAACCTTACGATGGAAATTTGTTGAAATTCAATAGTAACAATTTTCAAATTAATTTATATCTTGTATTTAAAGAACTATAATCAGAGGTTGTTCAACATTGTACCTGTAAAGAAATCAGAGAAAATAACTGGCTTTCATGAACTTTGTAAGAGTTGGTCAGCAAGAAACTGGGAGGCTATAAAACTTGATCTTAAAATTCTGAGCTAGCAACTAGGCCGATTTTACCAAAGTCATGAAGAAGCAAAATTCTCCAAGGAGAACTTGTGTAAATGTCCCCAAATCAACAGAAGTAGCAAAAGTGTAATAAAAAGATTATTAAATGCTACACTGTATAACAGGCACATTAGGCAGTAATATGTGATTCAGTCTTATAATGTGTTTGGAAGTATTGCTATTAATCTCTTAATTAGCCTACATAATATCTGAAGATTCCTTTTTTTTTTTTTTTTTTTGAGATGGAGTCTCTCTCTGTTGCCCAGGCTGGAGAGCAGTGGCACAATCTCAGCTAACTGCAACCTCCGCCTCCCAGGTTCAAGCGATTCTCCTGCCTCAGCCTCCTGAGTAGCTGCAGGTGACCATTTTCATAAGCACATTGAAAACCTAAAGCCATGCAGACATTTGACAAATTTGTCAATGGACCAAGGATGCAGAGTGGGACGTAGATTAAAACTGGACAACTAAATTTGGAGACCAAAACTTGTATTTACAAAAAAACACATCATTAAAAACTAAAATCTTTCTTGGCCAGGCACGCTTGGCTCACTTCTGTAATCCCAGCACTTTGGGAGGCCAAGGCGGGTGGATCACATGAGGATAGGAGTGCAAGACCAGTCTGGCCAACATGGTGAAACCCTGTCTCTACTAAAAATAAAAAATGAAAAATTAGCTGGGCGTGGTGGTGGGTGCCTGTAGTCTCAGCTGCTCAAGAGGATGAGGCACAAGAATCACTTGAATTCGGGAGGTGGAGGCTGCAGAGAGGGGAAAAAAATCATTCTTTAAAATGTCTTCTTGATAAAAATAAAATTTTCAATGGTGTTATGGTGAGTATAAGAAAAGAAGAAAACTTTGGCTTTTGTAGAACATGCCAGTTTACCAAATCTAAACTCTGTTTCTTGTTTCATCCCCTCCTGAGACACCCCCACCTCTCTCTCTCTCTCCCCACTAAGATTTATTTTGCAAGAGATATGGTAGGAAAGAGAATGAAGATCCACTTCTTAGTTTCAAATTTATCTACTCTAAGAGTGAGACAAATTTCTAGTTACATCTAAAGTAGGATATTTAAGTATGATATTAAATTATTACAGAGCATTTCCTTGTAAAGTTTCATAAAAAGTGTAGATTATAAATGTTTAACCCTACTTACCTGGAGATGTCAAGCCCATTACGTATCCAACAACATTAGTAACTGTTTTCAATTTTGTCACCGTCTGAACTTGCATGCTGACGACTCTTACTTCTGGAAAAAATAAAAATTTAAAGACTTTTGTTTCTTTATATGTTATTGTACTTTTTAAACCTTAAAATTTATTTATCCAATATCATCAGCAAAAGAATTCCACAGAATTGAATGTTCTCAGATAACCAAAGTTATACTTTTTCTGACAAATATTTATTCAATACTTTGTACAGATTCTATTTTAGGTGTTTGTTATGCAATGATGACTAAGATACAATTGCTAGCATCTTTGAACCTCAGAGCCATAAATAGGCACTTCTAAACCTTACATTCAGTTCTACAATGAGGGTTCATTATGAGAGCATTCAGAAGACCTTCAGGAGATGTGGGCAACTCATGTTTTTAAAAAGGAAAAAAAATAGATTAAAACATTTCCAAAGAATATTGAATACTTTTCTATTTTCAGATAAAGAACATGTGGACAATAACCTTTCCAGTATGACTCACTATTTTATTAACACTTTAAAAATGGTAAATAAAGCATTACACAACATAAAAAGATAAAGATTCTTAAAGCTGTACATGTTTTCATATATTAGAGGTTTTGTTTCTATCTGGGTTTGTAGGTTCCTTACCTCTATTCTAAATCCGTACTAATCGCTCTACCTCTTTGAATTTTTCTGTTTATGTTTGATATTCAAAAATTTTGCAAATAAGGCAAAGACACAAATCAGGAGGGACTCTAGTCACAGAACTGACATAGTCTCTGGAGATGAAATGTGTTAATCCTGTATTTGAAGGATCCTGAGAAGTCTGGGTTGGGAAGTGGTTCACAGGATCTTTAAAGTTTTCCTTAAAGCAGAGGTTTAGGAGTAGGCAGGTGTTAGTGTCAGGGCAGAGCACGGCAAATTTGAAAGCAGGTAATACAAAGTAGCCACGTTATACTGGCAGGCCCACAGACGTTCACTTCTTACTGATAGATAGAAATTGTTATAATAAATACATTGCTTCTTTCCCTCAATGTACCCTTTCGAACAAATTAAATGGAAAATCAGTACACTGAATTCGTTAAAATAATAACCAAAACAAAAGTAAGGAGGCCTTTAGAGAATGCCTGAGTGCCTTATCTATCTGTGAGTAAATCTATGTAGAGCCTGAGCATTGTGCTTTTAATTTAGGTACTATGCATTTTTGTTTGTTTTTCAATTAACAGACTTTGTTTTTTAGAGCATTTTGGGTTTGCAAAAATATTGAGCAGAAAGTACACAGTTCCCAAATACCCTCTGTCTCCTAAGCCTCCTATTACTGTGGAACATTGGTTACACCTGATAGACCAATAATGACACGTAAAATCCATAGTTTACATTGGGGTTCACTCTTTGTGTTGTATATTTGATGGGCTTTGACAATGCATAATGAGGTATATCCATCATGATAGTATCATACAGGATGGTTTCACTACTCTAAAATCCCCTGTGTGCCACCTCTTCATCCCTCCTTCCCTCCCTCTCTCCCCAAAAACCCCTGGCAGCAACCACTGATCTTTTTACTGTCTCATAGTTCTGCCTTTTCAAGATTGTCATAGCACTGGGCTCGTATGTTTGTTTGTTTTGACTGTTTATCTAATTCCCTGCTCAAGGTTTGTTCCAGATGATCCACATAAGTGAACTTTACAGACTCTTTACCTTATACCTCTCAATGATCTTTCCTGCTTATTTTAGATATAGATATAGACGAAGAATCTTTTCTGGTTTTCTAAAATTCAATATATTTTTGTCTAAGTTAGCTGTGAGCAAGCCTCACAATATGTATACTGTACTCCTTGCAATATTACCTTGCATTAATATAGTGCTTAACATTTACAATAACCATTTTCACACACATGTACTAATTCTTACTGGACCACATTCTTACCTGAAGTAGCTAGAGTGGTCATTGACCAATTCCCAACAGTTGTTGGGGTGTCCTGTTTAGAAGGGGGATTAAGAAGTGAAGCCACCTGGACTTCCTGGGTCGAGTGGGGACTTGGAGAACTTTTCTCTCTAGCTAGAGGATTGTAAACACACCAATCAGCACTCTGTGAAAACGCACCAAACAGCACTCTGTGTCTAGCTAAAGGATTGTAAGTACACCAATCAGCACTCTGTAAAAATGCACCAATCAGCACTCTGTGTCTAGCTAAAGGATTGTAAATGCACTAATCAGCACTCTGTAAAAACACACCAATCAGCTCTCTGTGTCTAGCTAAAGGATTGTAAATGCACCAATGAGCACCAAGAACAAAGCTTCCACAGTGTGGAAGGGGACCCGAGTGGGTTGCTGCTGCTGGCTGGGGTGGCCAGCTTTTATTCCCTTATCTGTCCCCACCCACATCCTGCTGATCGGTCCATTTTGTAGAGTACTGATTGGTCCATTTTACAGAGTGCTGATTGGTCCATTTTGCAGAGTGTTGATTGGTGCGTTTACAATTCTTTAACTAGATACAGAGTGCTGATTGGCGCATTTTTACAGAGTGCTGATTGGTGCATTTACAATCCTTTAGCTAGACACAGAGTGCTGATTGGTGCATTTTTACAGAGTGATGATTGGTGCATTTACAATCCTTATATTATTCCATACTCACATCTGAAAATAAATATGCATAGAGTCTGTTTTTCTTCACTAGAGTCAGCACTGTAATCACATTTTAAATTTTAATAATAAATATCAGAAAGTTCTTGATTAAACTTGCTGTAAAGACACATCTGCTGCTGTTGGCATTGCTAATTTGAACAATCCATTGGTAAGGCAATATTACTCTTCATAGCAATAACAAAAGCACTCCTGTACTTTGAAATGTATCCTACAAGAATAATTCAACTCTCTGCAGTATAATCTATAATAGCAATGATAGAAAACAACATAAACATCTGAAACAGGGAAATGACTTAGAAAATTGTGATAAAATGTGTGGCTGTTAAATATAAAAGAATATATAGAAACATGAATATGCTATAAGTGAAAAGAAAAGAATACAGAGGGATATACAGAATGATTGAACTTAGGTAAAAACATGTATGATTATGAACAAACTATGAAAAACTAGGGATTAAATAGTGAAACAGAAATTGGCTTTAGCAGGCCTTCCCAAATCTACTGGAGCAAGGCACTGTTGTAAAAAGGCTTGAACAAACCTGCACTCTGGGGTAGTTCTCTAAATCCCCAGGGATGGTGGAATTAAAACCTAGAGAGATTGTCTCCTCCTAGTGTAGCACCTGATAACATTGAACCCTTTTTCACCATAGAAGCTTTTAGAATTTTCCTCTTTATTTTTGAGCTTTTTGAATTTAATTATAAAATATATAGGTGTGTTTTTTCCTTTTTTTCTGGAAAATTTATTATTACTTTTTTGACCATTTTCTCTCTCCCATTTTTTCCTTCTTCTAATATTGTTTCTACAACTCCATTTTAATCCACTGTATCTTTTAGTCGTACTTTTGTATTTATTTATCCTAGATCCAGCCTGTCTGGATCTAGAAGGTCAATCTGATCTTCTAGCTCTTGAATTTATTCTTCAGTGACATCTATCTATGACTCTATCTATCTACCTACCCTAACAATTACTGTATTTCTTTCAATTATCTTATTTTCCACACCTATTATTTCCTCTCATTTTTAAAAATGTTTTCTGATTTTTGTTTTATATTGCTAATATATTTTATTCTCTTTTTGAGTTTAACTTTAATCCTTATTTTAAATTCTTATACCATGTGTTCCAATATGGTAACTTTGGGTGGTATATGTATTTGTTGTGCTAATTTTCTTTGCTGGTGGTTGTGGACCTCAGGATCTAGCTATTTTGGCCTGTGGTCCAGCATGATATATCAGGGCCCAAGGATGGTGGGGATAGTGTCTAAGTGTGTGTGTGTGTGTGTGTGTCTGCATGTGTACCTGTTTGTGAGAAGGCCTGAATATGAGGAGGAAAGCAACTGCCAGGGGAAATAGTGCAATGAGATAAGTGATTGAAGCAAAGTGAGAAGGCCATCTGAATTTAAGAACTGAATAGCACAGAGTGTTAGATCCTGGGTGGAGTGAGGAAGTTAACCAGACTGTGGTAGGGGCAGACAGAACATTTGATATAGAGTGAATAGCCTGTATGTAACAGTGCCTAGGGTTGGATCCATTGTGAAGGGAGTAATGGCATCAATTGATTACATGCAGGGGATCTAATTACCTAAGTAAATATATTCCATTTAATGAGAAGGCGATTTCTATCTGCTAGAGAAAAGACTTACAAATGTGGAAAGATAAATAAAACTCAGTGTTGATATGTTTTCATGGTTTTATATATATATATAAAATTTATTTTAATTATATTTATATTTAAATTATAAAATTTAATATATTTTAATTATATATTATATACAAACCCATGAGGACATATGAGTTTATATTAATTTATATATATATATAAAACCATGAGAACATATCTATATATGTTGTTGATTGTATATATATCTATATATATCCAAGAGAACATACATATATATAAAACTGTGTGTATGTGTGTGTATAACACCCATGCACATAGATTTAAAAGTAAATACAGATATAAGTCTGAGTGTACAGATATATTTTTATATATTTACATAAAATATAATATTAAAATATAATTATATTTTCCTAGTTTTGTTCACTGAGTAGTATGGAGAGAAGTAACACTTCAATAGCAATAGATGAATCCAGATCCGTTTTTCTAGACTATTCTCCACTTAAAGGACCTAGAGTCTTTGGAGAAATGGCTGATAACAGAGCTGGCACAGGAAAAGTACAAGATGATTTGGTACGTCTTATGGTGCCAAAAACTAAGTAAATACATGAAGAATAATGAGTACATGTCAAAAGACACAGAATCCAGCTGAAGTTGCTATTACTGGCTAACATTTGACAATCTGAGCATCAAGATATAAATAGTACTGGTATATAACCTATTGAATCTATTATGAATATAAATCCTAATTAAGTAATGACTCAATACTGGCATGTGTAAATTTAAAAAATCATATAAAGAAATGAATAGA